AGCCACCATGCCCGGCCATCATTAATTTTGATGGCAAAAGCTGCAATCATTTTTGCATCAACTACACACACACCCGCATACACACACGTATATATATCTCATGTCACCTGTAGATAGAGATAGTTCTATGTCTTCCTTTCCAATCTATGTGCTTTTTTTCTTTTTTGAGATAGGGTCTCACACTGTTCCTCAGGCTGGAGTGCAGTATGGTGTGATCATAGCTCACTGCAGCCTCAGAGTCCTGGGCTCAAGTGATCTCCCTGCCTCAGCCCCCTGAGTAGCTAGGATTATAAGCTCGTGCCACCATGCTTGGCTAATTTTAAAGTATTTTTTGTAGAGATGGGGTCTTACTGTGTTGCCCAGGATGGTCTTGACCTCCTGGACTCAAGTGATCCTCCTGCCTCAGCCTCCCAAAGTGTTAGGATAACAGACGTGACTTCTGCGCCGGGTTCTGTATGCCTTTTCTTCTTGCAGCGACTAGCACTTCCAGCACTATGTCAAATAGGAGTGTCAAGAGCAGACATCCTTTTCTTGTTCTTGAACTTAGAGGTAAAGTATTCTATTCTGTCCTTCACCATTAAGTATATCATATATTTAGTGTATTTAAATTTATTATAGTTATTCTTTTTTTTTTTGAGACGGAATTTTGCTGTTATTGCCCAGGCTGGAGTGCAATGGCGTGATCTCGGCTCACTGCAACCTCTGCCTCCCAGGTTCAGGTGATTCTTCTGCCTCAGCCTCCCAAGTAGCTGGAGTTACAGGCACACACCACCACACCTGGCTAATTTTTGTATTTTTAGTAGAGATGGGGTTTCGCCGTGTTGGCCAGGCTGGTCTTGAACTCTTGACCTCAGATGATCCACCTGCCTTTGCCTCCCAAAGTGCTAGGATTAAAGGTATGAGCCACTGTGCCTGGCCAGATAAGATCTTAAAGACAGAGCTTGGCAAGCAGATTCTAGAGCTCATCTAGAGAATAAAATACATGTAAGTTCCTAAGAAATCTTTGAGAAATGAGAGAAGACCTAACCAATCAGAAAACAAATAAAGCTATAAAACAGTAGTAATGCAAAATTGATTTTGGATCAGAAATAAAGTCTAGGAGCAGTCACACATTAATGTGAAAATTTTGTATACAGTAAAGGTGGTATTTAAAGTCAGGGGAAGGGATGGACAAATTAATGTTTTTTCTTGATTGGATATTCAATTGGAAAAATAAAATTTGATCCACTTACACGACAGACAACTAGGCATCATCCTGTC